TGCAACACGCGGGGCGGGGCGTGGTATGGAAGGGAAAAAAAGAAGCAGCGCCTTAGTCTGGTTATCCGACGGTGTGACGATGCTGTATACGGAAGCGCGCCTTCATTCATCGGAACCGTACTGAATCTTAACCTTAACGTAAGACGCACCCTTTACAAGAAGGGTGCGACAGTTTCGTGCGCATAATGTTTCAACTTAAAGCTGACAACACGACTCGCCAGCACGACTCGCCTGGTCCAGCAGCTCGAGCTTCCCTCGGGAGTACCGAATGGCCTGAAGCACCTTCGACTCGCCCGACGCGCCGACATTCTCCGCCGTCACCGTTAGATCTGCAACCGCTGCCGCCATTGCTGGCGAATGCTATTGATTCCAACGACGAAACGTAAGACACGAATAAGCGAAACTACGCGAACACAGGAGGTGTGATGGGCGACACGGCAAGGCGGAAGGGATGTCACGCTTGCGAAGTGCGGCGAGCGGCGCTAGATGCGGAGAAAGGAGAAGGCGGATTGGAGAGAGGGAACAAAATGATTCGTGGCAGTGGGCTGGCGTGTGGTCCCTCCGGGGTGGTTACACTTGAGCTGCGATGTGCAAATATTCGTAACACCCAGCAATTTTCCTCTGCGACGAATTCTGGCGACTGCGACTATGTTCGCTGAATGCTTTGCCTAACAAGCAGAGAATCGAGACAGGCAGAAAGGTTTTAAAAACCCGTTATAGTCAGCACACAGTTCAGCATACAAGTACAGCACACTACCTTACTGCGTTACCTTATAGCGCAGTGCGACGCGCATGGGCTCAGTGCGACGCAGATGGGCGCAGTGCGACGCGAATGGCCGCAGTGCGGCGCGCATGGGCGCAGCGCGACGGGCTCGGATTATTCTCACCTCCCCTCTCCCCTGCTCACGTTCAGACAGTTGACGCCCGTGCGCCGCGCTCCCCCACCATGACACCTCCCCTCTGACGCCCTGCCACGTCACCTCCCCTCTGACGCCCTGCCACGTCACCTCCCCTCTGACGCCCTGCCACGCCTCCCCTCTGACGCCCTGCCACGCCTCCCCTCTGACGCCCTGCCACGTCACCTCCCCTCTGGCGCCCTGCCACGTCACCTCCCCTCTGAGGCAGGCCAACGCATGTGTAACCGCATGTAACCGCACTCGCTCCTGTCGCTTGCGCCTTGCACCGCACATGGCTACTTCAGACAGCGCATGCATTCGGAGCTGGTGAGCCGCTTTCGTTCGTCACGCTTCACCGCGCTACACCGCGCTGCACCCAATACATGTGCTTGACCGCGCTGCACCGCGCTGCATATTCATTTACATCGGAATCCGTCTTCTCTCCTTGGGTCATTGGCAGGTCGGAGCATGCAGCTAGAGCAGAGGGGACTTGCTTTCGACACTTGTTGTCTTCAACATGAGTGGTATGATCGCACGGCTGCTATGCTGACAGGGGATGTGCACTTCCTCTGCATCATGCCGTTGTCTCTGCATCATCACCGTTGCCTCTGCATCATGCCGTTGCCTCTGCATCATGCCGTTGCCTCTGCATCATGCCGTTGCCTCTGCATCATGCCGTTGCATCTGTGGTGGTGACGCTCCCCACAGCAGGTGCGCTCAGCAAGTGTGCTTTGTGGTGTGTTGTGCTATATGCTATTAGCTTTGTGCTGTGCTATATGTTTTGTGGTGTGCTGTGCTATATGCTATTAGCTTTGTGCTGTGCTATATGCTTTGTGGTGTGCTGTGCTATATGCTATTAGCTTTGTGCTGTGCTATATGCTTTGTGGTGTGCTGTGCTATATGCTATTAAATTTGTGCTGTGCTATACGCTATGTGGTGTGCTGTGCTATATGCTATTACCTTTGTGCTGTGCTATATGCTTTGTGGTGTGCTGTGCTATATGCTATTAGCTTTGTGCTGTGCTATATGCTTTGTGGTGTGCTGTGCTATATGCTATTAGCTTTGTGCTGTGCTATATGCTTTGTGGTGTGCTGTGCTATATGCTATTACCTTTGTGCTGTGCTATATGCTTTGTGGTGTGCTGTGCTATATGCTATTAGCTTTGTGCTGTGCTATATGCTTTGTGGTGTGCTGTGCTATATGCTATTAGCTTTGTGCTGTGCTATATGCTTTGTGGTGTGCTGTGCTATATGCTATTAAATTTGTGCTGTGCTATACGCTATGTGGTGTGCTGTGCTATATGCTATTACCTTTGTACTGTGCTATATGCTTTGTGGTGTGCTGTGCTATATGCTATTAGCTTTGTGCTGTGCTATATGCTTTGTGGTGTGCTGTGCTATATGCTATTAGCTTTGTGCTGTGCTATATGCTTTGTGGTGTGCTGTGCTATATGCTATTACCTTTGTGCTGTGCTATATGCTTTGTGGTGTGCTGTGCTATATGCTGTGCAGTCAGCTTTGTGCTATGTGCTTTGTGCTATGTGCTATGTGCTTTGTGCTTTGTGCTCTGTGCTATGTGCTCTGTGCTATGTGCTTTGTGCTATGCGCTATGTGCTGTGTGATATGTGCTATGTGCTGTGTGCTGTGTGCTATGTGCTGTGTGCTGTGTGCTATGTGCTATGTGCTATGTGCTATGTGCTGTGTGCTGTGTGCTATGTGCTATGTGATGTGTGCTATGTGCTATGTGCTGTGTGCAATGTGCTATGTGCTGTGTGGTATGTGCTATGTGCTTTGTGCTATGTGCTGTGTGCTATGTGCTGTGTGCTATGTGCTATGTGCTGTGTGCTGTGTGCTATGTGCTGTGTGCTATGTGCTATGTGCTATGTGCTTTGTGCTATGTGCTGTGTGCTATGTGCTGTGTGCTATGTGCTGAGAGCTATGTGCTATGTGCTATGTGCTATGTGCTGTGTGCTGTGTGCTATGTGCTGTGTGCTATGTGCTATGTGCTATGTGCTATGTGCTGTGTGCTATGTGCTATGTGCTATGTGCTGTGTGCTGTGTGCAAGCTATGTGCTATGTGCTATGTGCTATGTGCTGTGTGTTTTGTGCTGTGCTGGGTGCTGTTACCGAGGAGGATTATACGAACTCCATTGCTCCGAATAGCAAGGTGAGTCGTGTGGTAACAAGGTTATGTGGTGGGATAGCCTAGTGAGTCAGCCAATGCACAAGGCACTGAGCACGGGAAGGCGTTGCAGCTGCTCTCTTCTGCTGGCACAACGAGGACCCTACCTACCAACTCCATACCTGCCAACAACAAGGTCAGGCCAAGTGACGCAATGTGGTAACCAGGTTACATGGTGGGATAGCCAGGCGAGTCAGGCAGCGCAGAAGGAGTCTCACAGGTTACATTTGGTGTTGTAACCTTCTCATGGTTCCACATTTAGTTATCGCCATTTAGTTACCCTTCACATGGTTCCACCTTCCATTTCATCCCCTTGCCGAGTGCAGGCCCTCCGACTGATGTACGGCCGAGATCTTGCGACGGCGGTGCGGGTGCTGGAGGACCAATTGCAGGCGAGCCCGCTGACAGCTGTCGACGAGACAGTGGTGCTCAACCTGTGCTCCATGTACGAGCTGGCGGCGTCTGATACGCTCAACGCCAAGAGCACGCTCAGCAACTGGCTAACCCGCCTCGCCCCTGACGACTTTGACTTTGCCTGCACTCGGCTGTAGCGGACTTTCAAGGCGTCTCAAAATCACAAAGTACGCAGCAACCGGCTCACGCGGCTTGCTCCTGGCTACCTTGATTTCGCCTGAACTCGGCTCTAGGGAAGGGGAGGCGTGCACTCGGCTGTAGCAGATAGGAGGTGTGCAGTACAGCGTATGGAGTAGAGGAGTGAGGAAGTAGGTGTGTAAACGACTTCACTTCGGCATGCTGTTAACGTGTTGATGGGTAGGGACTTCCCTGAGACTGTTGGGTAGTCAGCACACATCATTGCCAGGAGTAGCAACACAAGTGGCAATGTCCCATGTTTGAGAGGACATGTTGCCATGTCAGAAGGAATTAGCCGAGGTTGCGTGTTCCTGATTGTTTTGCATTAAATAATGAACTGAATGTGAGAGGTCCCCCTATCCTGTGACGTTACGAAGGCTGCAGCAAGTGCTTCCCTGGTGTGTTGGCTATTTTCAATCGTCCATGCTGAGACCTAGATGTCTGATTAATGACCTAACCAAAGCTACCATCACTATCTAGGCAATTATAACCAAAAATATAAATAAAAAATCATTCGGGCAATACGTAATCGAGCACGCCATGGTCTTGGGTCTTCTGGGCCCCTCTTGGCCACTAGGGGGGTTAACCCCTAGTGTTACACCCACACACCGCGCTGAGGTGGGAACCCTTCGTGTGGGACCGCAGCCCCTAAACGACACGAGCCGGGCTGCAGCGTCCCACAGCCCAACTCAGACCAGGTGGCGTAACACCTGGCCAGGCGAAGGCGGGGTGAGGAGGCCATCAGAGTTCAGGGAGCGTCCCCCCATCCCTCGTCAGAGCACTCACTCACACACAGGGGCGCCTCAGGCGCGGGCCGCGTCCGACCCAACGCCGTCAGCAACCCCTGCCGCACAACACCTATGCCGCAGTCGGAGGCGGTCTTCAGGTCTTGGACACCTGCCAGCTGCAGAGCGACACACAACACAAGACAAACACAACACACGATCAAGTGAAACAGGCACGACAAAAACATGTCACGCAAAAAACGGAAAGAAAGCAAGATAAATCTGAGAAAGAAAGCAAGACAAAACGGACAAGGGAAGAAGGTTACCTCCGTCCGTGTGCCGCCCGCAGTGCCGCCCGCCGTGTAGACCTCCGCGCTGCCCGCCATGCTGAAGGGAATGGAAGGGGGAGATTAGAAAGAAGCCTCTTGCTGCCCCGCGCTGCCCTCTCGCCCTCCTCGTCCCACGAGTCGACCTAAAGGGAATGGAACGGGGGTGGGGGGTAGAGAGACAAACGGAAGAAAAGGATCAAGTGAAACATGCACGACAAATACATGCAATGCAAAAAACAGAAAGAAAGCAAGGCGGAAACGGACAAGGGAAGAGAGGCTTACCCCGCTGCAGCGATATAGCAGCACCTCACCTCCGTCCGTGCCGCCCGCCGTGTAGTCTCCACGCTGCCTGCCATGCTGAAGGGAATGGAAGGGGGGGTTAAGCAGAGGGACGCCTCTTGATGCGCGCGCGCTGCCCCCTCACCCTCCTCGTCCCACGAGTAGACCTGAAGGGAAAGGAACGGGGTGGGGGGTAGAGAGACAAATGGAAGAAAAGGATCAAGTGAAACATGCACGACAAATACATGCAATGCGTAAAACAGAACGAAAGCAAGGCGGAAACGGACAAGGGAAGAGAGGCTTACCCCGCTGCAGCGATGGAGCAGCACCTCACCTCCGTCCGTGCCGCCCGCCGTGTCGTCTCCACGCTGCCCGCCATGCTGAAGGGAATGGAAGGGGGGGTTAAGCAGAGGGACGCCTCTTGATGCGCGCGTGCTGCCCCCTCACCCTCCTCGTCCCACGAGTAGACCTGAAGGGAAAGGAACGGGGGTGGGGGGTAGAGAGACAAACGGAAGAAAAGGATCAAGTGAAACATGCACGACAAATACATGCAATGCGTAGAACAGAAAGAAAGCAAGGCGGAAACGGACAAGGGAAGAGAGGCTTACCCCGCTGCAGCGATATAGCAGCACCTCACCTCCATCCGTGCCGCCCGCCGTGTCGTCTCCACGCTGCCGGACATGCTGAAGGGAATGGAAGGGGGGGTTAAGCAGAGGGACGCCTCTTGATGCGCGCGCGCTGCCCCCTCACCCTCCTCGTCCCACAAGTAGACCTGAAGGGAATGGAAGGGGATGGGGGGTAGAGAGACAAACGGAAGAAAAGGATCAAGTGAAACATGCACGACAAAGACATGCAATGCGTAAAACAGAAAGAAAGCAAGGTGGAAACGGACAAGGGAAGAGAGGCTTACCCCGCTGCAGCGATATAGCAGCACCTCACCTCCGTCCGTGCCGCCCGCCGTGTAGTCTCCACGCTGCCGGACATGCTGAAGGGAATGGAAGGGGGGGTTAAGCAGAGGGACGCCTCTTGATGCGCGCGCGCTGCCCCTCACCCGCCTCGTCCCACGAGTAGACCTGAAGGGAATGGAAGGGGGGTGGGGGGTAGAGAGACAAACGGAAGAAAAGGATCAAGTGAAACATGCACGACAAATACATGCAATGCGTAGAACAGAAAGAAAGCAAGGCGGAAACAGACAAGGGAAGAGAGGCTTACCCCGCTGCAGAGATATAGCAGCACCTCACCTCCATCCGTGCCGCCCGCCGTGTCGTCTCCACGCTGCCGGACATGCTGAAGGGAATGGAAGGGGGGGTTAAGCAGAGGGACGCCTCTTGATGCGCGCGCGCTGCCCCCTCACCCTCCTCGTCCCACAAGTAGACCTGAAGGGAATGGAAGGGGATGGGGGGTAGAGAGACAAACGGAAGAAAAGGATCAAGTGAAACATGCACGACAAAGACATGCAATGCGTAAAACAGAAAGAAAGCAAGGTGGAAACGGACAAGGGAAGAGAGGCTTACCCCGCTGCAGCGATATAGCAGCACCTCACCTCCGTCCGTGCCGCCCGCCGTGTCGTCTCCACGCTGCCCGCCATGCTGAAGGGAATGGAAGGGGGGGGGGTTAACCAGAGGGATGCCTCTTGATGCGCGCGCGCTGCCCCATCGCCCTCCTCGCCCCACGTGAAGCCCTGAAGGGAAGGAAGGCGGGGATTAAGCAGAGAAGTCCTCTTGCTGCCCCGCTGCGCTGCCCGTCGCCCTCCTAGCCCCACGTGAAGGCCCGAACTGAAGGGAATGGAAGGGGGAGGAGTGAGGACGGAGTGCGGGTCAGGAGGACGTGAGACAGAGGCATGGACGAGGACAGATCCAAGGGCCAAGGTGCTGGAGGTATGTGAGTAGCCGCAGAGGCCGAGGGTGGGCCCCGTGCTTCAAGACAAGACCAAGAGAGAGCTGGGGCCCCCCCCACTCTCAAATGATCGAGTCCATCCGCCCCTCGTCTGCTGCATGGCGCTCACTGTCCATTCAACAGCACCCCTCCTTGTAATTGCCTCAATTCCAGCCCGTCAGTCTCTCCGTCTCGTTCCTCCGCCTCACCCCATGAACGCAGGGGAAGAAGCCACCACACGTGGGAGGAAGACGCACGTTCCTCCGCCTTGCCTCCGAGCGCGTGGTCAGCAGGGCGGGTAGGAGGCAGCCACACGCCTGTGACTGCCGGCCGTGCGTCATCCCAACACGCTCGCTCCCCCGCATGCCTAAGAGGGAGATGATTAAGGAGAAAATGAAGGAGTGAAAAATATAGCGATGCGGAAATCTGACAAAGGATGCAGCGATGCGGAAATCTGACAAAGGATGCAGCGATGCGGAAATCTGACAAAGGATGCAGCGATGCGGATATCTGACAAAGGATGCAGCGATGCGGAAATCTGACAAAGGATGCAGCGATGCGGAAATCTGACAAAGGATGCAGCGATGGGGATATCTGACAAAGGATGCAGCGATGCGGAAATCTGACAAAGGATGCAGCGATGCGGAAATCTGACAAAGGATGCAGCGATGCGGATATCTGACAAAGGATGCAGCGATGCGGAAATCTGACAAAGGATGCAGCGATGCAGAAATCTGACTAAGGATGCAGCGATGCGGAAATCTGACAAAGGATGCAGCGATGCGGAAATCTGACAAAGGATGCAGCGATGCGGAAATCTGACAAAGGATGCAGCGATGCGGATATCTGACAAAGGATGCAGCGATGCGGAAATCTGACAAAGGATGCAGCGATGCGGAAATCTGACAAAGGATGCAGCGATGCGGAAATCTGACAAAGGATGCAGCGATGCGGATATCTGACAAAGGATGCAGCGATGCGGAAATCTGACAAAGGATGCAGCGATGCGGAAATCTGACAAAGGATGCAGCGATGCGGATATCTGACAAAGGATGCAGCGATGCGGAAATCTGACAAAGGATGCAGCGATGCAGAAATCTGACTAAGGATGCAGCGATGCGGAAATCTGACAAAGGATGCAGCGATGCGGAAATCTGACAAAGGATGCAGCGATGCGGAAATCTGACAAAGGATGCAGCGATGCGGATATCTGACAAAGGATGCAGCGATGCGGAAATCTGACAAAGGATGCAGCGATGCGGAAATCTGACAAAGGATGCAGCGATGCGGAAATCTGACAAAGGATGCAGCGATGCGGATATCTGACAAAGGATGCAGCGATGCGGAAATCTGACAAAGGATGCAGCGATGCGGATATCTGACAAAGGATGCAGCGATGAGGAAATCTGACAAAGGATGCAGCGATGCGGAAATTTGACAAAGGATGCAACGATGCGGAAATCTGACAAAGGATGCAGCGATGTGGAAATCTGACAAAGGATGCAGCGATGCGGAAATCTGACAAAGGATGCAGCGATGCGGAAACCTGACAAAGGATGCAGTGATGCAGATATCTGACAAAGGATGCAGCGATGCGGAAATCTGACAAAGGATGCAGCGATGCGGAAATCTGACAAAGGATGCAGCGATGCGGAAATCTGACAAAGGATGCAGCATGCACGCGCGCTCGCCGGCAGCGGCACTTCTCCCACCTCGCCTCGGCATTCCTCCGCAGGTGAGCAGTGATCAGCAGGGCAGCAGTGGAGCCTGCCGTGCGTCATCCCACTGCCGCCATCCCACAGGTGCAGTGCAGCAGCCTCCGCCCCTCCAGTCGCCACCCGCCTCCTCGCTCCCCAAATTTCGCTCCCCTAGACTCGCTCCCCTACAGTCCATCCCCAACACTCCCTCCCCAACACTCACTCCCCAACGCTCCCTCCCAAAACTTGCTCCCCAACACTCGCTCCCTCACACTCGCTCCCCAACACTCGCTCCCCAAAACTCGCTCCCCAACACTTGCTCTCCAACACTCGCTCTCTCACACTCGCTCCCCTACACTCGCTCCCCAACACTCCCTCGCAACACTTGCTCCCCAATACTCGCTCCCTCACACTCGCTCCCCTACACCTGCTCCGCAGCACTCGCTCCCCAACACTCGCTAACACTCCCTCGCAACACTTGCTCCCCAACACTCGCTCCCTCACACTCGCTCCCCAACACTCGCTCCCCTACACTTGCTCCCCAGCACTCGCTCCCCAACACTCCCTCGCAACACTTTGCTCCCCAATACTCGCTCCCTCACACTCGCTCCCCTACACCTGCTCCACAGCACTCGCTCCCCAACACTCGCTAACACTCCCTCGCAACACTTGCTCCCCAACACTCGCTCCCTCACACTCGCTCCCCAACACTCGCTCCCCAACACTCGCTCCCCAACACTCGCTCCCCAACACTCCCTCCCCAAAACTTGCTCCCCAACACTCGCTCCCCAACACTCCCTCCCCAAACTCTCCCTCCCCAACACTCCCTGACACTCGCTCCCCAACAAACTCTCCCCCACACTCGCTCCCCAACACTCCCTACCCAACACTCGCTTCCAACACTCTCTCCTTAGCACTCGCTCCCCAACACTCGCTCCCCATCACAAGCTCCCCAACACTCCCTCCCCAACACTCGCTCCCAAACACTCGCTCCCCAACACTCGCTCCCCGACACACGCTCCCCAACACTCGCTTCCAACACTCTCTCCTTAGCACTCGCTCCCCAACACTCGCTCCCCATCACAAGCTCCCCAACACTCGCTCCCCAACACTCGCTTGCAACACTCGCTCCCCATCACTCGCTCGCAACACTTGCTTCCTCCGCGGCTTGCCTCCGAGCGCGTGGTCAGCAGGGCGGGTAGGAGGCAGCCACACGCCTGTGACTGCCGGCCGTGCGTCATCCCACCGCGCTCGCGTCCACCTCAGCCACGTGCCGTCCACCTCAGCCACACACGCTTCCCCTCCACTGCCACCATCCCACAGGTGCAGTTCAGCAGCCTCCGCCTCATACGCCTCCCCTCCCCTTGCATGCGTTGGGTTGAGTGTGCTGCATGGAAAAAAAAGCACGGTGGTAAGTCGAGGAACCGTGAACAAGCAAGGAAGCGAACGGAGCGAAGAAAGAAGAGACAGCAGCAACAAGGAAAGGCGGGAACACGACGAGCGACGTACCGTGTGTGAGAGTGGGCGCTGGAGCTGCTGCAGCCTGCAGCAAGGTGGAGTCTTGTCAGTCCCGAAGGTGGCGCGTTGAAGGCGCTGCAGCAACGCACGAGCGCGTACCCACGCCCGTGCACACACCGTGCTGCAAGCATGCACTCACCGGTCGAGCTCGCCCCTGCCGTTGCCGTGTGTGCCTCACACGCTCGGGCCTCTGCCCGCTTGCCTCAGGGCACTGCCCCTAGCTAGCCAATGTCCAATCCAAGCCTCAATGTCCAATCCAAGCCTCAATGTCCAATCCAAGCCTCAATGTCCAAGCCTCAATGTCCAATCCAAGCCTCAATGTCTGCTGCTGCTGCTGCTACTGCCGGGCGACCTGCAAAGGTGACAGAACACAGCATCAGTCCCTGGATACTCAGAAATGACAAGAACAGAAAAAAAAAAGGACGCTAGGATGGCAATGCGTGGTCAAGGGACGCTAGGCCGGAAAGAGTGGTGGAGGGCAACTTACAAGGTGAATGGCAACTCAGCGTCCTTGCTCCAGCAGTGGTCAGCAGGGCTGCCTGCCGTGCGTCATCCAACTGCTGCCCTCTGCTGCCGTGCAGGCCTTGGGCGATCTGCACATGTCAGACAAAACAGCATCAGTGTCTGAATATTCAGATTCCAAAACAGGCAACAAAAGGAAAACATCTCACAGGCTTCCAATATTGAAAGTACTAATAACTGGTTCAGCTTACCATGGCATGGCGGACCTCCGGTGCAGCAGCGCCCGTTCTCAGCTGCAGCAGCACCCGGAATTCCACTGCAGCAGCGCTCACCGAACCTCCATTCTTCAGCGCTCACCGAACCTCCGTTCTTCAGCGCTCACCGAACCTCCGTTCTTCTTCAGCTGCAGCGCCGTTCCGCCAATCAAGCAGCAGTCGTTGCTCTCATTCGGCTCAGCTAGAGAGCAGCAAAGTGCAGCAGCAGGCCTTGGACCTGCACAAGTCAAACTGGACAGCATCAGTGCCAGAACATTCAGTCGGTAACAAATAAAAGCAACTCCGGAATCATCACATGGAATTTCAAAGGAACGCTGAAACAATGCTCGGAATTTCGATACGCTGAAACATTGCTTCCAACTTACCATGGCAGTGGGAACTTCACGAGCTTCGTGGCCTCCTCGCCAGCACAACGCCTCCTTGCCAGCAGCATCATTTCTCCATCTCACGCAGCAAGTCACTCCGTAGATCAAGTCACCCTGATCACCGTCACGCCGCTGGCTTCTAAAAAAGAAGTGGTCAAGTGATCGCTGCAGTGAAAAATATAAAAACATTTTTTTCCGTGCAACGCTGAAGATACATCGAAGAAACGCTGAAAAAGCGAGGCAAGTGCGATGCGAGAACGGTAGGGGCGAGAAAAGGCATGGAAAGTGAAGAGCAAAGGGCGGGCAAATGACTTGAAGGCACGGAAAGCAACGCAGGGTGAGAAAACAACGCAGCGTAGGCTCTGAGAGAAACGCACCTGAAAGGAACGCAACGTAGCTGCAGTGCCGGCCCTCGCTGCCTCCCCCTGGCTGCCTCGCCCGTCGCCGCTTCCCCGTCGCTGCTGCCCCCCACGTATGGCGTGTACCGGCCTGTAGGCGTGCAGCAGAGGATGTGGGCTGGAGGAAAGGGTGGGCAAATGATTAGAAAGATATATGGAAAACTGACAAGCATACATGCAAGCAACGGAAAACCAAAGACGAAGAAAACTGGAAAGCATGCATCAGGTGAAGGTGGTGTGAGTGGCAGTGACAGTGCAGTGGAGTGAGTGACAGTGCCAGCGGCAGCGGCAGCGGCAGCAGCAGCGGCAGCAGCAGCAGCAGCGGCAGCGGCAGCGGCAGCGGCAGCGGCAGCGGCAGCGGCGGCGGCAGCGCAGGCGGGGTGGTGGGTGGCAGCTGCAGGGCGGGCACCAAAGGACCGTACCGTACCTGAGCACACCTGCTTACGCACGATGCCGCCGTTACCTGAACACACCTGGGGAATGGTCCAATGGTGCCGCCGGTGCGAGCTGGAGGAGGAGGAACAAGTGGCGCGAGGAGGAGGAGGCGGCTATGAGGGCGGAAGCGAGCAGAGAGCGAACAAGTGAGAACAAGTGCGTGAAAAAAACAAGAGTAACGAGATTTCTTAGCCATGTTCAGCAGGCAGGGGTCGAGGCAGCGGCACCTGCCTCGGTCCTCCTCGCCTCAGCTGTCGCTCTGTCCGCTTCCGCAGTTTGCCGCCCGCCAGCTCCCTTGAGTGCGCCGTGCTCCCTGAGAGGCGAGCAGTGGTCAGCAGGGCAGCAGCAGTGCTGACTGCTGTGCGTCATCCCACTGCCGCCATCCCACTGCTGCCGTCTGCTGGCTCTGCATGAGGAGCAACCAGGAAGATCGGGAGAGAGAGAGAGAGCAGAATCAGCCTCAGAGCGGCAGAGAGAGAGAGAGGAAGAGCACAAGCGGAGAACAACAGAAACGTGTGAAAGTTTAGCACAGCAGAGCGACAAGTGAACGGCTGGGGAGGGGTGGGAGGGGGAAGGCGCATGGCGACAGTGGCCCAAGGGCACGATAGCAGCGAGCTAAGGCAGCAAGGGACGAGAGGGACGCGCGCATGCCATGAATGCACTGCTAAGCTATGCTACACCCACTGGACCCTCTCTCTGCTCTGGACTCTACATGAGCTCGCCTGCCAAAATGCACCCTGAACCACCGCCACCATGCGCCTTACAAGACAATGTTTTGTTTGGCACGAGAAGAAACGATAGATGCAGAGGGGTGAAACGTCAAAGGGGCGTGGGGGCAAGGCGCGAGTGCAAGGGGTTGAGGAGGGAACTTAGCGAGGTTCAGTGGCCGCTCGTTGCTTTCCGGTTGCCGAGCTCGCCCGCCTGTCACTTTCTGATTCGCCGTTCTCCAGCCGCCGCTCGCCTCCTCAAGTCAGCGTCGCCTCCTCGCCGTGCAGCAGCAGGACTTGGCCGATCTGCAGAGGTCAGACAAAACAGCATCAGTGACTGAACATTCAAAATTTGAAAACAGGCAACAAAATAAAAGAATCTCTGAGGTTTCCACTATTCAACGTAATGAAAAAACAAATTCAGCTTACCATGGCGGAAGTTCCTCCGGTGGCAGTTCCTCCGGTGCAGCAGCGCCCGTTCTCGGCTGCAGCAGCGCCCGCCGAACCTCCGTACTGCAGCAGCTTTGTAGGAGCTGCAGCACCCGGTATTCCACTGACGGTCGCGCAGCTCCAGGCTGCTGAATCGCACTGACGGTCGCGCAGCTCCAGGCGGCTGAATCGCACTGACGCCGGTCGCGCAGCTCCAGGCTGCTGAATCGCACTGACGCCGGTCGCGCAGCTCCAGGCTGCTGAATCGCATTGACGGTCGCGCAGCTCCAGGCTGCTGAATCGCACTGACGCCGGTCGCGCAGCTCCAGGCTGCTGAATCGCACTGACGCCGGTCGCGCAGCTCCAGGCTGCTGAATCGCACTGACGGTCGCGCAGCTCCAGGCTGCTGAATCGCACTGACGCCGGTCGCGCAGCTCCAGGCTGCTGAATCGCACTGACGGTCGCGCAGCTCCAGGCTGCTGAATCGCACTGACGCCGGTCGCGCAGCTCCAGGCTGCTGAATCGCACTGACGGTCGCGCAGCTCCAGGCTGCTGAATCGCACTGACGCTGGTCGCGCAGCTCCAGGCTGCTGAATCGCACTGACGGTCGCGCAACTCCAGGCTGCTGAATCGCACTGACGCCGGTCGCGCAGCTCCAGGCTGCTGAATCGCACTGACGGTCGCGCAGCTCCAGGCTGCTCGAATCGCACTGACGGTGCAGCAGGTAAGAATAAGAATAGAAATAAGAATCACTTCAGGTATCGAACGAAATAAAAATAACGAAGAATCACTTAAGTTTTCAATACGCAAAGCGCTGGACGATTGCTTTGAAAAAAATGCTTCAACTTACTATGGCGAACTGAATGGTGAGTATCCATGTGTGTATATCATGGACCACGGAACGACGTGTTCGCGCTTCGTCGTCGGATTCGTATGGACGTCGTCAGATGCATCGTCGGACTCGCATGCGGAAGTCGCCAGCATCTGTTACGACGCTCGCGGTTGGTCGCCATTATCCTCAAATCGTTGCATACGGAAGTCGCCAGCATCCGCAATGTCCGTCGTTCCGTCGTCGCTAGTCCGTCGTCGCTTTTCCGTCGTCATTTGTCCGTCGTCGTTAGTCCGTGGCAGGAAAGGTAGGGCCGTCATAGTTGAGATTTCAAGAAGAATAGCGTCAGGATGTGACGCGTTGATGGTCCCGGCTACTAAAGCGTTGATGATGATGAAGCTGTAGTAGAAATCACGCGAATTGAATCTTTAAAATTCTAGTCGCTGGAAAAGCATCTTAGTATCAGTCGCCCGGATTTCTGGATATTTCGAGAAAACTACTTCCCCACAAAATTCCGTTCTGTAAACGAACCGTTTTACTCCAAGCAGAAGGGGATCATGGAGATTGAGATAATACTAAATCCATGGCGAGATGAGAAGACATGGCGACAAGGAGCCACAGTGAAGATACATGGACGGTACTTTTCACGAGATTCATGGCGGCCTTGAGGTCTGGTGAGTAGAGAAGTCGGAACAATGGAGGTGTGGGAATGTGGGAGACAGAGGTGGAGTGGGAGGCCTTGCGAATCTGGGAGTGTCGCGTGACTAGGGTCAACCCACAGTGGTGATTCTCCCTTGCTGGGTGAGGGGGCGGTGCTCCCTCGACGGTGACCAGCGTCAACCCTAAGTGGTGATTCTCGCTCGGTGAGTGAGGGATGGTGTTGCCTCGACGGTGACCAGGGTCAAACAAAAGTGGTGTCAGTTGGTGGGGAAGGATTGCGCCAGGCGGAGCGCAGGTGACAAAAGTGGCGGGGGAGGGGAGGTGGGTTAAACAGTTTTTTTTTTTGTGTTTTTTTTTTTGGGTAGAAAGAGATCTCTCGGGAAAGGAAAGAGTGTTCGGTTTCGGAGTCAAAAGCGCTGACAATCGGCAATAACCAGGTCATTTGGCACCCGAATGAGGCGGCACCCCGGGATGCGTGGAAAAACATTCCGCCGGCAGCATGCGGATGTGAATTTGACATCAGCGGACCGCGGAGTTCAATGACGGGCCCGCGCGCCAGAAGTGTCTGCGCGCAAAGTTTCACTGCGGAAACCTTCGCAGTAACCCAGCGCACTGACTTCAAATCATGAGGTTCGCCTGAAGGTTGTGAACACGAAAACCAAGTTCGCGAATCAGCGACGATTTTGCACACCAAAGTGCGAAGCGGGAATGTGTGCGCCGAGCGGGTGTTTGCGCGGGTGTCAGGCTGCGCTGCAGAGGGTGACCTAGGTGATGGCGGAGCTAGCGGTTCTCCCTAGAAATCATCTCCCCTGGTGATGTTGACCGGACGGCTGAGGAGATATGCTTGTGGGCCCATCTTACGTCATCATTCAGTACAAGAGGATATGTGGACTCATCCTCGCCACCTTTACAATGGAATGAAATAGAAACTGTAGAAACTTCGTTTCAACAGAAAGGTATATGAAAGATGATTCATTGCTATTGTGTATTCTTGTGCTATTCGTTGTACAGCTGATGCCTGATTGAGCCCCTCCCGGTTGCCTTGTGAAGGGGGCGTATAAGCTGTATCGTCCATTTCGCAAAAGTTTCGTGAATTTCCAGCTAGCTAAAAAGGATTCGCACGTGCTTATATAAAGAATCTGTAACCTTATCCGTTGACATTTTGACTTCAGTCTCTTCAGTATGTCCACGGTCTGTTCGTTACTTGTGGAAAAAAA